ATATTACCAAAATATTGCCAATCTTTTCTAAATTGTTACAAAGTATGTTGCACTGATTTGATTGAGTTGTATTCTTTTGTTAATTTCGTTAAAAAAAAAATCAAATATGTTGAAAAGAATATTGAATATATGGAAGACATTAAGATTACCCTGGAGAAGACAAATATTAGTCGGCAGTGATTTATTTGGTAATGAATATTATGAAAGCATTAAACCAATAATGGATAACGGTAGAACTAAACGAATTGTTTATATGAAGAAAAAAGGCATTATTAGTGATTATATTGTAGAAGATATACCAGGTAATGTTTATTAATTAGTAAATAAGATTATAGTTATTGATAAGATTATAAATATTTAATGTAATAATAACAATAAATAATGCTAGTTCAATGGCAAAGCTGGTTAAAACATACAAGGTTTAATTCACCTACAATAGAGGTAAATAACATAATTACATAATCTATCAATATAAATATTAAATATTAAATATATATTATTAAATAAATATTATCAAAAGGAGCTTATAAATAATAATAAGAGACAAGAATTAATATTGAGTAGAGCAAAGAAATTAGATAAAGAATGGGAAGAATCAAAAAATAAAAGATCTTCCCTATTAGCTAATAAAGGTATTATATATATATCTACGGTATGTTAATTAACTTACTAATAATGATTATATCATACAGATTCCAAGAAACCTTTGATACCTAGCGATGATTATAAACCTGAAGGATGGACACCGCCATCCAAATCATTAAAATCAAATAATTAATCAATCACGTAATTTCATTAATTGTCATAAAAATAGAAACAAAAAGTAAAATTTTGATCTACTTTTTTATATATGCGCGCGTTTATTATTATATGCTAATATATGTGCATGAGTCTGTGAATGTTTTATATGTATCGATGATTTTTTATGTGTGATAAATTTTGAATTTTTATTTATAAATACTAATATTTTTAGAAATTTAATAAAAATATTCATTTTTTTTTACCAAAATCGACTCTTTGGTATTAACTTTAAATCCATCAACTAAATTCATTCAACCAGAATTTATAAATCATGTCAATACTGGAGCTTGTATTTTTTTATGGTTATGATTTATCATCGTTAACAATTCAACAACAACAAAGGGTCTTGATCGAATATGAAAAACTATTAAAATCATCAATTTACATTAATAAGAAATCATCGTCATTACAAGGAGGAAGTGGAGGAGAAGAACAATTTCCAAGTTGTTATGTCTCTCCACATACACCAATTGATTCACCACCGCCATCACAACAACAACAAGATTATCACAATAATTTATTACAAGAATATAATTCCTCTGAAAGAAATATTCAATCTCCTTCATCACCACCCTTATTACTAATTCCACAACAACCAACATCAAATAATAATAATTATATAATTACACCAGTCAACTCGCCATCTCCATCGACAAGAGAACATCTTGAATTATCTCAACATCAAGAAGAATTGTCGTTATATCAACAACAACAACAACAGCAACAACAACAACAGCAACAGCAACAACGACAACAACGACAACAACAACTAGTGCAAGAATTACGAGAAGAAAACCGAAATCAAAATTATTCTTCTTCTCTACATCTTTCTTCTAATCCTTCTTCTTCATCTTCAAATGAATTATCAATTTCATTCTACCATAATAATAATAATAATAATAATAATCAAATAATCAAACTGTCAAGTTATATACCTTTCTTTTCCAAGTTCTATAAATTTGTGGAATGTATTGAACTGAAGCCAGAAACATAGAAACAATACCTAAACCATCAGCCCATAATTTAGTAAGCTGATTATCCTCTGGTTTTCCACTGTTAAGAAGCAACAAAGAAACAACAGAAGTTATGATGAGATGTACAGCAATGATTGATGAGACACCGAGGGATGCACGCCATTCATATGAATAAGTTGTTGGTGGTGAATTAAAATGTATGTGGCGAATGTATGGTGTAAGTTTTCTCTGAGGAGGAAAATATAACATGTATAAAAGAAAAATTGTAGTAAACATTGTCCATTGTATAATTAATTGAATTATTCCAAGTGTATTTGCAAAGCAATCATATCCCGACTAATTTTTAAAATTTAGAAAATAAAAGATCGTTAGCCAAATAATAATGATGATGATAATGGTAATGACAATAATGATGATAATATATACCACTTTCGGGTCATAACAGCAATCGATCATCTCGTATTGTAATAATAAAATATTGAATAAACTACATGTTGCAGATGTAGTTCCTAGTAAAAGAAACCATGGACTTAATCCTTCACTTGTTTTATGAGAA